TGCTAGTCTGTTTCTTTTGATTGGTGCATTGAGACCATTTACATTAATGGTTATTACTGTTAAATGCTGGTTTATTGTAGGAATGTTATCTCTCTGCTGTTGCATCTTTATTTTTCTGTTCTGTTTAATTATTTGCTTTGTTTAATTCTTTTTTCCTTTGTGTATCTAAACTGTGTTTCAATATTTTTTGCAGGGTTGGTTTGGTGTTCATGAAGTTCTTCAGCTGTTCTTTGTCATGGAAGTATCGTATTTCACCATCAATTTTGAATGATAGTTTTGCTGGATACATCAGTCTAGGTTGGAAATCATTTTGCTTTAGGATCTGGAATACTTCACTCCATGCTCTTCTTGACTTTATTGTTTGTGCTGAGAAGTCTGCTGTGATTCTGATAGGTTTTCCTTTATAAGTGATCTGTCTTTTCTCTCTGACAGCTTTTAATAATCTATTCTTGTGTTGGATTTCTGGAATGGTGATTATTATATGTCTGGGTGTAGTTTTATTTTGGTTATGACTATTTGGAGTTCTATATGCTTCACTGATCCTGATGTCAGTTTCTGATCTCATGCTTGGGAAATTTTCAGCTATTACTTCTCTAAATATCCTCTTGACATCCTTTATGTTGTCTCCTTCTTTTTCATTAATCCCTATCATTCTTATGTTGTTATTCTTTGCATCATCTTGCAGTTGTTGAATTGTTGTTTCTTGATTCCTTGTTATTTTTAAAAGATCTTTCCTTTCCTGTTCACTAGCTGCAATCCTGTCTTCAAGGTCTGAAATTCTATCTTCACTTTCATTAAGGCGGTTTTTACAACTTTCAGTGAAATTTTTTATTTCCTGTATATCTCTGTGCATCTGCATTATGTATTCTGTTTGTTTCTTACATTGCTCGTCTAGGGATTCTATCTTTGACCGGCGCAGCTCCAATGAAACAGGAGACAGGAGACGCTTTTGTGGACGACAGTTAACTGCTAGTTTATTTACGTGGGCTCTGGTTTATATATTTGGCCGTGACCAATCACAGGCTGCCACAAGGAAGCAGGGCGGGAATGGGATGTAGGCTCTGGCTATTATATCCAGCTGTGGCCAATCAGGAGTTGCCACAGAGTACAGAGTAGAGCGCGGGGTGCGCACGGGTTGGCTAATTTAAAGAGGGACGTAGAGCATTGCGGAAGCTGGCGTGGTCCTTAGTCCCGGCTGGGGTATGGTATGTTGAGCTCCTTCGCCCAACATCTCCCCCTTTCTTTATAACTGACGCAGGGTCTCCAGAGGTCGGTGCCCCTCGTGAGGCGTCATGCTGCGCAGTCATGACAGTGCCTCACTACTCGTTGGTGCTCTTTTGGAGAGGGCGGGAGTATTGTTTTATGAGCCCAACGCACATGCTCACCAACATGGGGACCGGCGTGTCTCCTGGCCAAGGACGACGCCCCCTGCGATGCTTTGCTGCACACCTGCGTCACAGCATGGCGAGCCATGCTGCCGGGCTTTGACCAGATTCCATGATCAGCAATGCTTGTTTGATACTTTGTCCCTATTCCTTTGTCTGCGAATCCGACAGAGCAGAAGTAGACTGCCGAATGCGGCAAGTGTAGTTATGGTAGCCAGAGCCCCTGTTCCTGCCCATTCCTTTATGAAAGCCAATTGGAGAGTTGGCCCGAGCTGGATCACAGGAAACTCGTCTGAGACCGCCATAACTGGAATCGGTGCGAACTGGAGTACCTGCATAACAACAGCTGAAAGTGCACTGTTATCCCAACATTGTAACACATAACAGGTTGCGGTGGAGCAATTTAGAAAAGTCATATTTGTGGTGTTTATGGTGACCAGGGAGAATCTCCATAATATCTCCTGGGAGTATCCATCCAGGGGGTCACAAGCGGTAAACTGGAGGACCCTTGCCCAGATAGGGGTGTAGAAGGATCCCCGGGGCCTCCGAGCTGGCGCGCCCTTAATCACAGCAGGCTCGACTTGGGCCTCCTGCAAGATGCGGGTCGGAAGGTAGAGCCGTAGGTCTTATACGGGGCGGCCCTGGGATCCCGTACTCGCTTTCATTGACCCATTTACTCTGAGAAATCCTGCGTTGCAGCTCATTTATGGCCTCAGAGTAGGGCCCTCTCGACTGCGTGTGTGTGACTTCCCCTCTTTCGGTGGTGTCTGCATCCGCCATTTTGTATACTTCTCCTTCCTCCCCCTCATTATCTGACGAGTCTGGGTTGGGTGGGGTCACCTCGCCTTCGGCACTGGACTCGCGAGATTGCTCGCGGGAGGATTCTGCCTGATGGTAATCAAGCGCCATGGCGCCAGCCCTTATATGGTCACAAGAGGTGTCTGTGAGGCAGCTTCTCACTATGGCCCAAAGGGGTCTGACTCCTGGCTCCAGGAGGCCATTTTCTGCTGTAAAGTCAAGATCTCTCCCTAATTTATCCCAGCTGGGGATGGTAACGGACCCCGTGGGACCAAACCAAGGTGCTACCTTATTGACCTGATCAAGGAAGTTTTGAATTTGTTCTCGTTTCATTTGTAATCCCTTTTCTCTCAGTAAGTCGCTTAAGGCGACTGACAGTGGCTGAGTAGCGGTGTTACCCATGTTAACCGGAATTTCAAGAGTTTCTTTTTATTTTTTTTTCTTTTCTTTTTTCCTTTTTTTTTTTTTTTTTTTTTTTTACAGGGACAGCTTAGTCCCCGCGCCCCTTTACGGCGCCCCCAAAACCGGCCTCTTTACGGCCCCCGGAACTCTCTTTACGAGTTCCTGACCCTTGGGACGCGTCCGCCCAAGGTTGCCCGATAGCCCCCGTTATCCGGCCCTGTTGCGTAGCACCCGCTACCAACGTTGAGCAGTTTAACCTGTCAGCCCTCGCCCGCCAAGTAGCCCCCGCTATTGGCGCTTGACGATTTTACCTGTTGACGTCTCTGTTCCGTCGGGGGGAGAGAGAGGTTCGTTCCCCTTACTGTCAAAGAGAGGGTCTCAGCGTTCCGGGCTCCCCGTACGGGCCACCAGTTGACCGGCGCAGCTCCAATGAAACAGGAGACAGGAGACGCTTTTGTGGACGACAGTTAACTGCTAGTTTATTTACGTGGGCTCTGGTTTATATATTTGGCCGTGACCAATCACAGGCTGCCACAAGGAAGCAGGGCGGGAATGGGATGTAGGCTCTGGCTATTATATCCAGCTGTGGCCAATCAGGAGTTGCCACAGAGTACAGAGTAGAGCGCGGGGTGCGCACAGGTTGGCTAATTTAAAGAGGGACGTAGAGCATTGCGGAAGCTGGCGTGGTCCTTAGTCCCGGCTGGGGTATGGTATGTTGAGCGCCTGCGCCCAACAATCTTTTTGTTTAGTTCCTCCAATTTTTTATCTGTGTTTTCTTTAGATATATTCAGAATCTCTTTCATTTCTTTTATCATTTCATCTTTTATCTGGGAGATTATTTCGAGTTTGAATTTCTTTAAAGCTTCCTGGAGTTGCTTGTCAATTTCAGTAGCTATTGTGTCCGATATTTGAGCTCAATGGCATATATTTTCTTCTATATACAGTGCTCCTAGAGTTTCTTGAGATGGGCTGGAGGTTTGAGGTTGTAATTTGGTCTTTTGTTTTGTCATTTTCCCATATTTCTGTGTTTCAAGTGTTATTTGAAAGCTTCCTCAGGATCTATTGAAAATCCCCTTCTATGTTTGCAGCTACTGAGACTCTGGCACCACGCTACCCCAAGCCACTGGGCCTGCAGAACCAATGGCCCTCCTCTGCCTGCTCAGAACTCTGCAGTTCCAGACAAGCTGGGCCTCAGGGACACTGGGCGCCCACCTGCCCCTTGGAAGCTCCATAGCTCTCCAATTGCAGCCGGGATGTGGAGGCAGATGTAGGTGCCTCAAGCCCACCTCTCCACTTCACTGCACCTGGAAGCCTGGAGGGACCCAAACAGTCCGGGCCGAGCTATCCACAGTCCTCCAGACACACAGGGAGGCCGATGCAGGCACCTCAGATCCGCCCTGCCCCTCCTCTGCACACCGATGGCTAGGCCGGTATCAAGTATTTTGTTGGCTTGACAACTACAGGTTGAATATTCCTTTTCCAAAATGCTTGGAACCAGATGTGTTTTTGATTTTCAATTTTTTGAATTTTGGAGTATTTTTACATACATAATGAGATGTCTTGGTACAGAACCTAAGTCTAAACACAAAATTCATTTCTATTTCCTATATGTCTTATTCACACAATCTGAAAGTTACATTATACTGTATTTTTAGTATTTTGTGTTTTGACTGTGATTCATCCCATGAGGTGAAGTGTGAAATTTTTCAATATAATTTCTTTTTGGCAATCAGAAAGTTTCAGATTTTAGAGCATTTTAGCTTTTAGATTTTTGGATTATTGATACTTAGCCTGTAACTGTGCTATAGCTTTTTCTTTTCAATTATTTAATTTTTGCTTCCCAATCCTTAGGCATGAAATGAGTTTTTCCTCCTCACTCTATTTCATTTACTCTTAAGATGTTGCCTTGGTTTTAACAGGATATTGGTCTTCTCTGCTTCCTGACAGCTTTACTGGTTGTTTTGTTTGCATTGTGTTGAGCAGTAATCCCCACATGAGAATAGGCAGAAGGGACATTTTAAACTTCTTTTTGTAAAACTTTGGGTAAGAAAATCTGAAAAATTTTAACTTTGAATGAAATAGCTTATGAGTATATTTATTTTTTAAAATTTATTTTTAGATGCAAAATTACTCCTGAGTGTTTCCTCCTGCCCTCATTTGTCATGTAAGATAACAGTCCATTAGCTAAAGTATTTCCTATTGAAAGTCGTTAAAATTGAGCTGTTTAACATCCTTCTTTACATTCAGGTCACTAGATCAGGCTTCTGTTTACCTGGTTTTATGAGAGTAACTGTGGGAATGTATTTGGTGTGTGTTCTTTTTAGTGAACAGGAACAAATCATGATTATTTCTATGCTTAACTGATTTCCTTTTGAGGGAAAAAAAAAAACCCAAACACCATTTTTTAAATTGTAGCTTCACCAGGTGATATAAATCAGATAAAAATTGAACCCAGTCTGTATCTTGCCCCTGCATTTACAGGTAAGATTTTTACTTCAAAATTGTGAACCTGGAGCCATTTGGATTTTTTCATTTCCCTGTCTCTCCCTCATAAGTCAGCATAGTAGAAAATAACAATTTTTAATTCCTCTAAATATTTATAAATGTACGTGAGATATAGAAATTCCTTCATGCTCTAAAGTCAACTCTCCAAAAGACGTAAGTTAGGAAACAAAAAAAAAAAATCTGTTTCCCCTTTGGAAAGTTTATAAAAGGCTGCAGGTATTGTATCCACAGTGCTGGGGATGGTACCCCAGATCCTTCCATCTGGGGGCGGTTATTTGTTGGGACAGGATAGTGTTTAAACTTTGAAGTCAGTTTTAAACAAAATGAAGCAGCTGGAACCTGGCATAGGATGAAACAAATCTTTCACATTAACTTTTGCTTTTTTAGAGGAAAAAGAACTGGAGTTGTTTTTACAGGTGCTGGTACATTTATTCTTTCTATAGTAAGTACTTTATTTTTTCTTAAATTGTACATTTTAAAGGAAGAATTTGTCAAATTGTTTGAAAAACAGAAGTGATAGTAAACTCAAGGAAGTATAATCAGATTTATATGTGAAACATATTTTAGGATAAACCTATTGTAACATTTTAAGACATTTTTTAAATGTAAAAGTAAATAAAGAAATGTTTAATAGTGAATAATTCTGGAAAATGGAAGCAAATGAAATATTACCCTTATATGACTGGGTGCCATCTTCATCATTGTTTAGTGTCAAAGCCATGATGCTGCATAATCTGTAGGGCTGGTTTAAGTATGTTAGGAGAATTGAACACAGAAAAATAGTTTAGAAGTTACTTACACAAGAAATTGAAGTAAGACTGGATGAAACCAAGGTGGACAGGAAAATACTTCAAAACCTGATAAAACAGCTGAAATACTATAACATTTCTGTGGACCGCTGAGAGGCAACTCCTTTGCTGGAACTCAAAAGAGCTAATTTGAAAGATAAGATGTGATCAGCATGAATCTAAGCAAGCTTTAGCAAAAAGAACAGACTCTCTAGATGGAAAAAGTCTGTTTGGTTCCACAGTCATTTCAAGACCCAGCTATGTGCGTACTATCATGCTATGCCTTTGTAAAATACAGAGGAAAATGGGATAGTCATTGGCCTAGGGAAATGTGTCTCACAGGCTTAGCAGACTCAAACTAGCATAACTACTGGCTCTTCACTTGAAGACATGCACTGTCCTTCCTTTTAAGGAATACATTGTCCAGGGAAATCAACAGACATTGAAAAAATAATTACAGTTTTCCTTGCTAAGTGCTGAAATCAAGTTGCCCTTGGAGAATAAGGCATCCATAATTAGCAACACAGGAGCTCCTAATATTTCACCACTGCTACTGCTACTGGAAAAACAATTCAGAATGATTCACATGCCCTGGGGCTGTGGTATCCTTTAAGTTAATGATGCTTAAAATTTTGAGAACCATGGTCTTATTTAATTCACCGAAAGCCTCCATCAATTGTCTGTTTCCCAAATTCGTTTAAAAAAAAATTTTTTTTAAAGAGATTAGGATAAATTCTACCTGTATAAAAAAATCATTTGTCAGGGCCAGGGATTTAGCTCATCAGCATAAGCGTCTGCCTGGCAAGCACGAGGTCATGAGTTTGATAAAAAAAAAAAAAAATCATTTTGTACCAAAAAAAAAAAATTTCATTTATCTCAAAAGTCAGGGTGTTTACAGAACTCTTGTTATCTATCCATGTACCCTGGGTTAACATCCTTCATGTACTTGGACTAAAATTACTACATTTATTTCTTTTTCACTTTTATTTTTAAATGCACCATTTATAATAAACCAGCCTTTAACTGCAGGTAGAAAAACAGAAATCTAGACAATTAAAATTCATCCCACTCTGTAGCTCATAGAACAAGATAAATTCACATATATGGGTATGGGTAGTAGTGTGTGTGTTCAGTCCAGATAAACTATTTGAGAAGCTATACTTCTCTGTAGAGCTGCTGATGACTCTTTTCCTTCTTTTGTCTGCTTGTCTTGAGTTGTTTTAGTAGATAATGCTTTGTTTGATTGCTCTCAGTTTGCAAATAATAGAGATATAATAATGGGTTACTCAGTATTTAAAGGCTAAGAGTTGGAATCTGAAAACTATTGATGAAATGGAGTATTTAAACTTGAAAAGTTTTTAGAAGGCTATGTTATTTGTGTTTTTAAATATATGTAAAATAAATGAATAACATCTTAAATGGACACTAAAAATTTTTTGTCATCTCTATGCACCTGTTGCCCTCACATTTCCTTGTGTTCTTATGTTATTATGGCCTGCTCAGCCACCCATATCAGTCATTTCTGTGCCAAACTCAATTCTTAGTAAGGACTCTTTCTCCAAAGGACCTTGACTCTAGGCCCATTATGAAGGATCATTAGTTCACCCATGGATTCTTGCCATTGATCCCTCTCCTCTTCATTTTTCCCACAGCTATTAGAATTATCTTTTCTAAAATACATTTGCACATTCAAAACCTGTTCAGAACCTGTGATTCCCCACTGTTTGTGTGGTGTGGCCCTGGCCTTCTGCAGAGCTTCATCTTTCCTTCCCTTCTGTCAGGTCTGTACTGTGATGTCAGACTCCTCAGGGATTCCACACTAACCTGAACCTGGACTATAGTTTGCTCTTTCCTTCCTTGTCTTCCTAACATCTTACAGGTTCTAGCTCAACCGCTTCTACCTGATTTAAGTAAAGGATACTGTACCTGCTTAGCTCTGCTAAGAAATCAGGAGCATCTTGAGGATGGGCTGCCTTTTTCATGTTTGTATCCCCTGGGCTAGTCTTAGCTTCATCCATGAGTATGTTTTTGTGGGTGTGTAGCCAGTCTGTGTGTACCTTTAAAAGTGTACTTTAACAGCTCTGTGCTTTAGTTGGCATTTATGTGTTGATATAAAGCAATAACTTTTCATGATTATATTTCTTGCAACTTGGAAATTTCTTCAAAATCCAAAAAAAGTTACATGATTGAGCAGAAATAGAAACAAAGTTTTTTGTAAATAATGAGGGAAAGAAGCTGGGCCTGGTGGCACACGCCTGTAATCTCAGTACTTGGCAGGCTGAGGCAGGTGGATTGCTGCAAGTTCAAGACTAGCCTGGGTTACAAAATGAGACCCTGTCTCAAAAAAAAAAAAAAAAAAAAAAAAGGATTTGGGGTTGAAGGAAGGGGAAGGAAATGGGAAAGAAGAATCACAATATTCCATGTACAAATACAAATTCCATATGATGTTATTTTTATGTATATCTGAAATATACCAATAAAATTAATTCTAAAATTAAATCCATAAATGGTTCATATAAAGTAATTTAATGAAATTAGGCATGAGATATTAGACATCAATGTAGTTTTGTCAGATAAGTAACTCAAGGAATTTTTTTTAACAATATTTAACTGGGAGCTGGAGATATAGCTCAGTGGCACAAGAGCCTGCCTGCCAAGTGCAAGATCCTGAGTCCAGTTCCTGGTATTAAAAAAAAAAGGAATGTGTAATCAGGGTAAATTGATTCTATAGGCAGAATATTAATTTGCTGTAGCCCTTAATTATCTCCTGTCTTAATTTCTCTTATTAATGAGGTGGGCTCTTGGATGCTTCCCTTAGTTATTTTGTGTGCTCTGCATCATGACTTTGTAAGACTATTTTAATAATATTTATGAACTATAAGTATTTTAATGTCTTTAGAATTTCATAACTTTAGTTTTTATCAAACCCTGATAGCTAAATTCAAGTCTTTTCCTTTAAAAATATTTAATTTATTTAAATTGATTTCTTCTTAAATTTGATGGTACTATAGTTTGTGATGTTACTGTAAATATGCCAAACCTATCTCCTTTCCTTATTTTTATAAAACCATAAATTTCTACAGGTTAAAAAAAAAAGCAATGGTATAGTATAATCCTTGATAGACTTCCTAATACTAAAGGAATTTGCCATTTCCAAATATTCTGGTCATCTTAGACAGCTGTGATTGAGTGATCATTGAAATCTACAAGATTGTCTACTTTTGCTGTACCCCTATAAAAATCCTAACACAAAATTCCACTTTATTACTGTGGAAACTATCCAAAAACATAAAGGAGTTTTAAGAAAATTGCTATGACTCTCGACTCAGAAGTGTCTGTAAGATAAAGACCATTTCTTTTAAAGTTATGTCTTGTTTTACATCTATGGTAAATCCATAAAATTTTAAATAAGGATTTTTGTGCAAATAAAAACTGTAGTGAGATTCCACCTCACTTCAGTCATAATGACTGTCTTCAGGAATACAAATCAATACATGTGAATATTGGTGAGGATACAAGAAAACAAAGCCCTTCTATACTGTCAGTGGAAATATAAACTAGAATAGGCATTATGGAAATCAGTAGAGAGGTTCCTCAGAACACTAAAAATAGAACTACTATGTGATCCAGGTATACAGTTCTTTGGTGTATCCCCAAACCAGCGTGAGCAAGCTGCACAGGTATCTGCACACTCGTGTTTATTGTGGCATAGTTCACAATAGTCAAGCTATGAAAACAGCCTCGATGTCCGTCAACAGATGAACTGATAATGAAAAGGTGGTGTATAAAGGGGAACAAAATTATGTCATTTGTACGAAAATGGATAGTACTAGGGATCATTATGTTAAACAAAATATGCCAGACTTACAAAGACAGATATTGCATGTTTTCTTTAGTACACGAAACCTAAAAACAAGAACAAAAAGACATACTAGTGGAAAAGATGCCACTATTAGACCAGAGAAATGAAATAAGTGGGGGAGGAGGTATGAGGAAGGGCATTATGGATATAGATGTGACCAAAATATGTTGTATGCTTATATGAAAAATTTTTAAAAATCAGCATTTTGGTAATTTAAAATAATACCAAATTGATATTTTTATATCCTTTGGTGGTAATATGCTACAAACTTAGAGGAGCTATACATATGCAGTCTACTCTGCATTTTTTTAGTGTAAGCATATTCATCTGGAACTACTTCTTCTGGATCTACTGGCCAACTCCTATATTAAGCAATATAATATTGCTCTCAATCCAGAGTACATTTTTTCCATGTTTGATTAAATTTAAAGCTAATGAAGAAAAATCTGTTTTACAGAAGAAACTGCTTCCCAAGTCAAATGTCAGTATTTGAATGACCAGTTTAATATTTTTCCCTTTGACATTGCTTGCCTACAGTGTGGTACTAGTAGCTTGGGCACTTAATGAATGTTTATTGATGGTATGGCCCTGAGTTGAGAGTCCATGTTATAAGAAATAGGTAGAAGAACAAAGTGCTGTAACTTCATGTGCTTTTAACGGGACTCATATCTCACCCCCTTAAAAAAATAATGTTCTTTCTATAAATAACAGCAAACTCTTATTTTAGAGCCATTGCAGTGTTGTTACTGTTTTTTTGTTTTGTGTTGTTTTGGATTGGACTTTGGGCTACTTATTAAAGGGTAACTGGTAATCTTTTAGTGATAATCACAGCTCTTTGTTTTGAGGCCCGGATTAAGCTCTGTTGAGCTCCTCACCAACCCTGTTTTGTCATGTATTCTGCAAGACAGGTACTATTAGCCGTCTTCTCAGCTGAGGAGGCTGGACTTCTGAATGGTGAAATAACTTGCCCCAAGTCACACAGCCAGTACAAGGTTAAGTCTGGATTTCAGAGACTAGGTTCTTAACGCCATGAGATCTCACCTAGCATATTTTATCATCAGTCTGTTCCACAATTTTTAGTACTTTTTTATGTTTTTACATGTTGTCTTTAACTGATTAAGGGTAAGGGGGAGGAAGGGGAGGGAGGAAAGTGTGTTGGAAGTCTGACAAATTCTGAACACCTTGAGAAAAGAAATTCTTCATCTGCAGTCCTTGCTTTTGATGTCTCGTATGACAGAGAGAGAAAAGTTGTGTCCCAAAGCAGCCAGGGACACTGGCTGAGCTGACAGGTTTCTTCTTTGGACAGGTGGCGAGACAGTGCCCTGCTTCACGTCACAGCCATCCCCTGCCAGAATGTGTGTGACGCTGCCTGCAGTGAACCTGGAGGCGTGCTCCCCGTCCCTGAGTGCCAGCACCATCCAGGGGGACGCAGGCTCCTCAGGAACAGACAGCTTCTGAGCCGGTGTAAGCCAGCAGGACTTCCCTGTGTTCGGAACCATGGCTGTGAGCACATTCTGGACAACATTTCTAATTTTTTATTGAAAGTGAAAAACATGATTTGGGTGTGAAGGCAAAGTTTTTGAATAAAATAAATATGAACCGTCATGAGACTGGCTATGAGTTGTTTTTCAGGAGTCCGAAGTTGCACAGCACAGTGGAAAAAGCATGGCGTTTGTCATCTAAGAATTATTGTACAGGTAAAGTTGTCTGATTACACCCATGAAATTACTCAGTTCAAAGTTATTCCTTCCAATATTTGTAGCAGTAGCAAATAAGCAAAAGTAATGCCTACCAACACAGGACTTAAAAACAAGGTATGCTGCTAGTTGAAAAATCTGTTTGCAGAACTGTGAGCTCGGCTAGTATTGTTCAAACTGAGATGTGTGCATTGCTTGTATTTGCATTAAATAACTGTGGGAAGATAAGCAAGCAGGCTGGCTGTGTCTCCATGAAGAGGAGCGGATAGTGAAGGGACAGGAGCCACAGATACCTGAGCTTCCTGGATTTGAACTTTATTCATGACAGAAAAACATGAATGAGGTTAATTCTTGCATGCTTTTTACATGCTTTTCTACTTTATAAACCTCTGTTTTCTTTATAAACCTGTGAAACAACAAATACGTAAAGTGAAGGGAAAATAAAAGGCATACCTTAAAGAAAACAAACAAAGCCAGGTGCATGGAAACTCCATTCTAATGGTTTCTACACTGCTTTGCTCTGTGGTGGGCAGGTTGAGAGGAATGCTTGTCCTTGCAGAGGGACAGAAGCTAGTGGTAAAGTGTGTACAGGGCGTGCAGGGAGTGAGGTGAAGGTGAGGTGTAGGCTGTGCACCCCGGTGCTAACCAAGGGAAATGGTCAGTGCGGTACAGAAGGGCAGCTAGCACTAGCAAAAGAAGAAGTGTCGTCCTGAAACACTGTTTTCTATCACTGCAGAAGTTCAGACACACAGCAATTACAGTCATCCCTGACTTTTCTTAGCCTTGTGACTGTTACTCAGTGGGGCTCAGTCTTCGCTGCACATTGGAACCGCTGGGAGCTTTGACAAGTCCTAATACATGTGCTACATACCATGGATTTTGTCTTGGTTACTTTTCTCTCATTGCTGGGACAAGATACCCAACACCCAAAATTAAGGAAAGAAAGGTTTATTTAGCTTACAGTTTTTGGAGATTTGAGTCCATAATCAGCTGGCTGGCAGGCAGGGGGGCATGGCACTGCGACAGCACCTCAAGGCAGCAGCCAGAGCCAGAAGAGGTAGAGCAAGCCTCTTTTCCTCCGTATATTATCATAGGCCACTCCCCTGCCTCAGGAAGGGTGTACCACTCACAAAATCTCTGTGCCCTTCTCTTGCACAGGGATAAGGTATATGTCTCTCTGCTGAGTCAGTTAAACTTCTTAAGTTAACACAGTGTATCATCCATAACAACCTCTGATTTCCTGAGGTCCAGGTAGGGTATTAAATACCTTTGCAGGTGATTTCCCTGTGAATACAAGATTCTGAAAGAGTAAATAAGGATCAAAATATACAGTAGATATCGTGAAATTGGAAGAAATTCTTGAAAGAACTAGAGTGGAAGAAAGGGGAAAAGAAAGGGAAAAGGAAAAAATGATTAAAAAAATAAAATGCAAATAAAGCTTTGTAAATATGGAGAGTAGATTGGGAAAAAAGAGAATCAAAATACGTACAGGTACAAATTCCCTATGATGAATATGAGGTTTCTGTGTGTCTAAAATGTACCAATAAATTTAATTTTTAAGAAAATCAGATTCCTACCATTAAAAAACAAAAAAGAATTACTGAATAGCTCCGTAGAGTTCCTTACACTTATGGAGCCCATGACCTACTGTTAGGAACCTATGGGAACTCAGAAACACACCAGCCTCCTGCCTTATCTCTGCCGTCATAGTATCTCATGCTTGTCTCACGTAGCTCTTCGGTTACTGAAATGCTACCCATTTCATTTTAGAATGTGTTTTGTTCGGATGATACTTAAGAGAGTTTCAGTTTATAACAATTTCTTTTTAGCAAGTGGAAGAAAAATGCAGCTCTGTGCATCCCAGTGGTTTTGGATGATCACTGAGGAGTCTCTGGTGAGCGAAAGCTAGGGAATCCTGCCTAAATGCTGGTTTATTTTAAACATTATCCCCCAGCAGTCTGGTTTTCAAAGCTTTCATTAGGAAGCATTTTAGTAAAATATTATTTTACCCAAAGGCATCTTTTATTTAAAATTGTTGGTAGTTTTTTCTTTCCTATTGGTAGAAAAGGATGCCTTTTGTAATCTTAGAATGAAAGTATAGTATTTGGTTTATCTTCTTGTGCATTGGAGCACTTCTTTAAAAAAAAAAAAATCAGTGTCTGTTCACCAGTATTGTATTTTGCAGGATTATTCCTGTTCAAAGTTACTGCTATACCTGTACTTCTCTACCAACCACCTCAGATCCTTTAAACTAAGAACATAAGTCAACTTTTAAAAATACATATACTTGGGGGAGGATCAAGATGGCAGATAGATAACAACTGGCTACAGAGGCCCTCTGAGATAGGCAACTTAGAATTCAACATAATATAGAGTGGGGAGCCCCAAACAGAGGGAGATGAATTCTCTCGTCCCAAGATGCAATTAAGGCAACTTGCCAACCATCTGAGGTCCCACTGCTTTGACATTGAATCGGGGGCCATTGAGCCAAAGGGGGAGCTGAGTTGGCAGGGTGCCTACATCAACCTGTGGTGAGTGATGGGAGTGGAGCCATTTCATAAATTGGGGGGCTCCAGTGGATGACATTCTGGGACCAGGCAGGACTGGCAAGGGGCAGCAGCAACTTCAGTCAGTTGCTCCCTTCCTGAATGGGATTAGTGAAGTGAGCTAGGCCTGGGTCACGAGACCTGGCTGAGACCCAATAGGTTATCTGAAATCAAGTCCCTACATTGGTAGTGCACGCTAACCCAGTGAAATCTCAGAAGTTTGGCTGACAGTGCAAACCACAGCAGCTTGACTGACACAGAGGGGAGGTGGCGCACAGAAATGTTGTGCACGTCACAGCAACTTGACTGATCCCCACACCACTGCACTCCAGCCACCGCCTGCAGTGCCTCTAGGCCGCCAGTGAGACCTGTCGCCATGGGACCAGGAGTGACTGGGTGCCACCTGCTGCCACCTCCCCTGACCCCGCCATTGCCACCTACCCTGTGGGAAGGTGGCACAAAGCCCACCACCACTGTGCTCCAGCCACTGCCATCCAGAGGGGAGGTAATGCAAAATAATGCAGTGCAGGCCACAGCACTTGACTGATCCAGAGGGGAGGGGCCACCATACGCTGCCCCTGTCTGCAACAAACTAGCATACTGCAGTGGGAAGGGCCATCTAGCCAGCATGCTTCAGAAGAATTGTAACCAACAAAGAAAGAAACTGGGGCCTCCTGGAAGAAGCAAAAAAGATGGGAAGAGGAAGCAACAACAAAAAGTCCCCAGGTCCAACCCTGAGAACATTGACTCAGGACAGGTAAATACAAAGGAGAATGAGAACAGCAAACATGCAATATCAGACACAGCGCCAGTGGACATAAAGAGATATATTCAGGACCTCATAGACAAGTTCAAAAGTGAAATATTTAGCCAAATAAAGCAAGATATAAGAAAATTAAAGAGATACTAAGCACCCCTCAAGCAGACACAGATGGGAAAAGGGAGAAACTCAAACAAGGATTGATGAAGAATATAAAAAATAGAATACATGAAGAAGATTCAAAGAGTCACCAGGAAATTAAAAACTCTATGGAAAGATGGCAAATCAGCTTGAAAGAGACTAAGGATAGATTATCCAAACTGGAGGACAATTTTGCAATGTGGGAGTATGAAAGGGAAAACTTTTTTAAAATAACAAGGAAACAAGGAGTAACAATACAAAGGCTAGATGACAAAAGGATCTATAACTTGAGAATAAAGAATGTGAATGAAGAAGCAGGGGTACAAACAAAGGAACTACAAAGGATATTCACAGAAATAATTAAGGAAAACTTCCAAAGCATAAGAAAAGGAAATGATATTCTGATATATGAGGCATACAGAACTCCAGCCACCTACAACAAAAACAGAGCTACACCCAGGCATATAATAATCAAGATCCCAGAAATTCAATATAAGAACAATATTAAAAGCTGTTAGAGACAAGAAACAGATAACCAACAGAGGAAGGCCCATCAGAATAATGGCAGACTTCTCGACACAAACCATCAAGTCAAGAAGAGCTGGAGTGAAATATTCCAAGCCCTGAAAGAAAATAACCTCTACCCCAGATTGATATGACAAAAGGATCTATAACTAAACTGCTACTGTCTCTAGAAATTAATGCTAAGCTGTTTCTAGAAATTAATGGAGAAACAAGATGCTTCCAAGACAAAGAAGAACTTGGGAAATTTGCAACCACCAATCCAACTCTACAGAGCATACTGCAGGGCATTCTAGAGAGAGAGAAAAGTACTAGGATTCCATGAACAGTTGCAAAGAGGCCTCAATGAATGGAGCAGAAAACAAAATGAAGAAGATAAGCAGACAACTGATGGCAAAAAAAAGAGCCTAATAGAAATGAGGCAGAGAAGATTTTATTCAAAACTGATTATTGATAGTATCAAGTCTCAGAGTATAGGCACCTATATTGAAGATGACAAGACCTAACAATACATATTCTGGTTTGATAACTGCCTGCTTTTGAAGTTCTATACTATATACAAAGTTGTGTTTTTATTAATACTCTTATGTACTGACATATTCTATTATACTATATCTGATGATATAGCCAGTTCTATTGACGATAACAAGAGACAACACAGGAACCATGGTAGAACTCTTTGTGCAATGGTCTTACATGTTTTTTTTGTTTCATGTGTTTATAGGAATATGTTTTGTTTTGCCATGCTTTGTTTTGTTTCTCCCTCTAATATAGAAAGGATAGAAATACATGTTACAACTCATGCATGTGAGAATCTGTAAACAGTTTATGAGAACAGATCTTATGACACACATAATGAAATGAACAGATATTTTGAAGAAAAAGAGACACTAAAATATCCAGTGCTGATCCTGGAGTGTCACAATGTGATACCCAGCA